GGGTCCTGGGATCGAGCCCTGCATCGGGCTCCCTGCTCAGCGGGAAGCCTGCTTCTCCCTCTCCCACTCCCCCTGCTTGTGTTCCCTCTCTCGCTGTCTCTCTCTGTCAAATAATAAAATCTTTAAAAAAATGATAATGTGAAACTATATTGACATGGGGATATATTTTTATTATATAAGTATTTTTTAAAAGAAGATAATTAAATGATGCAGTGGGTTCCTATTTTTTTTAAAAGACATGAATGCATAAAAAAGTCTTATTATCTGTGTAATAAGTTATAAACTGAATTGTAGAAAATGTTGATGATCTATTAAGTTTAAAAAGCAAACTGCAGAACAGCATTACATTATGACAACCAGTTAAATAAAATAATCATAAATATGCATATATATGGTGTGTGTTCAGTTAACATATATGAGTATCTGTTAAATATATGCCATATATACAATATCATCTATACATGAAGAATGAGAGGATGCGCACCAAAATGTTAACAATGGTAGGATTACACATGGGTTTTTCATTTTTGTACATTTCTGGATTTTTCCTAATTTTCTACAATACTTATTTTTCATGATCAGATTAGCTCTTATCTACAACATTGCTGTTCATTCCCTTGCAGGTAAAAGCCACAAAGAGCCAGTACTAGCTTCCTACTTTATGACATCGAAACATTGGTAATTCCACATTTTCTTTTTTGTATTGAAAGCCTAGGTGTGAAGGAGGGGAACAAGGTAAGACATTCATTGGGTCATATCCTTGATACATATGACTGATTCCCACAGATACACTAATTCAGACCAAACATTCAGATCACACAACACAGCATCATTATTTAAAAGAGATAAAGAATGTATTGCATTCCCAAAAAGTAAAAAAAATAAAAAATCCTGGAAGATGGTATTATTCTGTTACTACACTCTTCTGAGATAGATTAAGTGATATAAAGTGGAAGGCATACCTCACCTTCAGTGGTCCACATGCATCCTATCTAAAAATGTGCATATACCATCTACATGGATCTTTTTTCTTCTCTCCTGTGATAGATTAGGAGAGAGTGCCTCACATTTGAAGTGTGTTCAATTAGATTTCAGAACATCAAAAAGTATTACCAAATATGGAGCAGCTGCTGTAACGAGAGAACTATGTGAAATACCTTCACATATCAGAATGACTGAGAAATAGAAAGGAGCCACAAATCTAGAGTCAAAAGTATTTCCTAATTTCTAAAATGTGGCAAGTGAGCTCTAAAACTATAGATGAATGAGCTCGACACCAAATGATAAAACATTCTGGAATAGATTACTAAATAAATGGTTTGTAAGCACTTAGAAAAGGATCTCTGGTTAGACTGAAAGCCGATATGGGTTTAGAAACAATAAAGACCGAACTAATTAACCTCATTTCTAAAATAGGATCATTAAGCTGGGAGTGCTATAAATACACTCACATATTTAGTTTTGAAAAGGCATTTATCAAAATCTCTACATAGAAGATAGAGAAATGTGAGCTGGATGAGAGCCAAGTAAGGTGGCCTGGTAGGAGTCACAGAGCGGTGATTGATGAATCCCGTGCTATCTTGAAGAGAAGCCTCCAGCTTGTGACTATATGCTTGTGTGTGTGTGTGTGTGTGTGTGTGTGTGTGTGTGTGAGAACTGAGTGTGTGAATGTGGGGACATGTATGTGTTCCTATGTATGAATGAGTGAGTGGGCTTAATGGAGAGCTACTACATACACACTGCAAATTTTCCTCAATTCCTCTTTTTTCCTTACCCTACACATCAATGCTGCATTGGGTCCTTTCACTTCTCCAAAGTACCTGTCGACTTCTTACCCAATTTGTCTACTCTCCCCATCTCTCCTGCTACCTGGTTGAAGCCGCCACCACCACCCTCACTTGGACCGCAGCAAATATACCTCCTAGCCAGTTGTCTATTTTGACTCTCAATCCCTACAACCCATTTTCCACACAAAGCCAGAGTGAGTTTTTAAAATGTAAATGTGATCACCCCATTAATTTGCTGAATATCCTCCAACTTACTAGGATCAAATGAAAGCTCCCCAGCCTGGCGCCAGAACTCCCTTTCTGACTGCTGCCTACCTCTCGCCTCAACAACCAGGCAACTGCAACACTCTCTCCCCTCCCCTTGCATCCCAGCCTCCCACCCTAATGCTTTGAAACAGCTATGCCCTTGCCTGGCTCCCTGCCCTTCTGTCCTCCCTGCCCTCCTCCTGTCTTTGAGATTTATTTTAAATGTCACCTCTGCGGAGTTCCCCTCCCCCCACCAACCACTCAATTTTAAGTAGTCATCCCTCACATAGCCCTATCTTAATTCTCTGTATGGTCCTGCATCAGTCAAGATCCAGTCAGGAGACAAAAGCCATACCAGGTATTTTGAGAGCGAACTGAATATTATGATAACCAGGCATGAAGCTGTTAACCAAGTAACTGAAAAGACAAAAAGAGAAAACTAGGTATCACGAAGGCAGCAACACTGGAAGCAGTTTCCAACCCTAGGGCTGGAGAAACAAATGAAAGAGGCTGGAATTATTCTAAAGAAGAAGTTTGGAATAGGGACCTGGCAGAGCCGAAATTAAGTGAAATTAACACCAGCTGGTGCTGCTATTCCTGGAGGGCTGGCCATGAAGGTGATTCTGCACATACAGAGAAAACTGCAAACCAGACTCAGCTCCTGCTACAGGAGGCGGCACGGCTGGAGGGCCGGGAGGAGA